AAATTAAATCTTATTAATTAATCAACTGGGCACGATAGCGTTCAATATTAGTCAAAGAATAGCATTAAGGATGATGAGAATGACTAAACCAAAATCAATTAATTTGAGATAGCTTGCAAGTTACTTAATTTTGTCCCTTTGTTTCTCTAGAGTCTATTATGCAAGCTATGTAAACATGAAAAAGCAATAAATACACACACATAAGTCAACTCCTTGCTACTTATTTCAATCATTCAAGACAATTACGGATCACAAACTCATGGGTAGCAGTAGAACAATTAATATGAATTGAGGCGTCAATTTAATTAATATAAACTATTCATAAATAATAAGAACAAGAAACAAAGAATACTTGAAGAAGAAATCTTTATCTAGCTCGAGCCTCTCAAGCTTACAATCGGACTTGAATCACCCTTGAGTTGGAAGAATTAAAGCCTAGCCACTCGTAATGGAAGGAGATAACTTGAATTTTGGAGAAGAGAGCTTTTTGTTAGAACTAAAATGATGGATCTCCCAAATAAGGCTTCTCTATTTGTAGAGATTAACTTTATCCTCTTTTAAGGAGGAATTATCTCTAATAAGGAATTTCTAACTCATTGGGAAATATCCTTTTTAAAAGAAAACAAATTAAATAAAAGAGTTCCTAATCAATTGAGGATTATGTTTCCTACTTTGATTATATCTCTTTATTTACAAAATATCCTAAAAATTCATAATTCTCAAATTGAAGCTTCCCGCCATAATAATTGTGTCTGTATTTATCCGTTGAACTCTCCCCAATTTGGTGAAGTCTGCATTATCCTCTAAAATTGCGTTTTAAAATTATTATTCTTGAATATCTTCAATCTGCCACAAAATGATAAATTATAATTAAATTCAAATATTTAAACGTAATAAATTAATAAAATGTAAAATAAATATATAAAATATAGGTATCTTTTTCATCTTATCAGTTGTTAAATCTCATTCTCAAGAATTTCTTAACAGTTGGTGCATTTGCTTCTTTGGCTCGGGTCACATTGGATTGACCCAATGATGAGGATGAACGTAGGCAACCTACATGCAGGCTAAACAATTGAATTAAATGATTCACGACCATCAATATTGGCCAATAAGGATGACCATGAGGAATTYAATTACCCACCAACTTATTACCAACATTTATCATAACAAAGRAGCCAATTAAAAAGAGGACCGTTCATCATCCCTCACTTCCTTGGTGTAAGATTTTTTTTAATAAAACATGTAGGGATGAGAATTTGGTCAACTTTTAATCGAAAATAGATAKGTACTTTAACCAGTTGAGCTATATTCAAGTTGGTAGACTATTAAGATTTATTATAATTAAATCCTAAATACTAATCTTTAACCACTCCTAAACTATATAGTTATTATAAATAAGTACACAATTAGCCTATTTGGGGTTTCAAATAAAAAATGGCATAACTATTCAAAATTTATACTATTGTCTAAATATTGGCCCATAATGTATGAAGTCCATCAGAAAATTACCAATTTTAATAAAAATATAAACACGCAATCTAAAAATGGAAAAGAAAATTAAATATTGGTCATCATCAAAATCCTAAAATTTTGCCTCCGTATTTTCTCCTAGAATATTGCCTCTCTATTTTTCCCTAAAATCTTGTCTCCCTATTTTCCAATTTCATGGCAATCCTCAAACCTCCTCACTTCAACCGGCGACGGCAACTTAGAGTAGAGTTCATTCTTGACGTTTTCCGACGGCAATGGGTGTATTTCTCATCGGCAGTTTCTAAACACGCGCACAACCGGAACAACGACGCCCAGTACATCTATCACCGCTGCCACCGTCAAAAATCTCTGAGCTGCAAATATGACTTGAGATCCTCGGCCGTTGGGTTCGTGAGGTTGCCGCATCATGAGTGTCATCATGGCGGCAGAACCAACACCGTTGAGGGACGTCACCGACACAAGGGAATCACGCCGTCGTGGAGGGACGTCGTGCCACTACGATTTGGATCTGGGAACTGGCCGCTGATTGCTACAAATCATCGTTTGTCGTGGGTTTGTGCTGTTAGTGTGGTGTGCCATTTCTTGGGTGTCATCGGGGTTAGGTGGCCTATGGAGAAAAAAAATAATAGAAACCTATGGTTTTTTTTTTCAAAGGAGAAAATAGATGATCTCACTGTGGAGAATAATGTATATACTAGTATATATTATATAACACATTAGGGGTATATTATTATCCTACTCTAAGTAAAATATATATATATATATTATAAAATGGTCATTGGAATATATTATATAATCTATATATAGCAATAAAAAGTATATATTATATGTTTASTATACTATTAGAAAAAAGACACACCGGGAAAAAAATGTTGGAAAAATAATAATGAGAGGAATGAGATAATTAAAATATGTAAAAAATATTTTGGAAGAGTATATGTTTTATCATAAAATAAGATGTCGGAGAAAAAAAGAGCCCAGATAAAAAAATATACACCAAAAAATTCAAACAAAAATCACCGGACAATTAAGCAAGAATAAATTTGGAAAATATAAAGAATTGGAAAATTCGAAATCAAGATTACATCGAGGATGGAAAAAAGAATTAGAAAGAACTTTTTTATAATTGGATAGATATAAAGAATCTTATTGATGRGAGAAAAATCGGGACAAATGGTATGGGGTCCATGTGAGAATGAATTTACAAGATTTGAATATATCATGTTTAATAGGTGTAATATGAGGATTGAGGATTGAGGATTCTCCCATGACTCCTCGATTAATGGAGGATTCTTTCCCGATGACTTTTGAGAAGGTGTTCAGGGAATTAAAATTTGTTCCTATTCCTAGTATTTTTTTTTAAATAGGCAATTGTTTTATTGGCCAAATGTGTCATTTCTGATCGTTTCTATGTCTTATGAGACAATTGTTTTCCTTCRTAGATTGTGATGATGATRTGTGGTCTATGGCCACCACTYTTCAGATGTAACCCTTAATGGTATTATTTCTATTTAATGCAATGTTTATTTGTTTAAAAAACATATGAAATTTTTGAAACCTAATTAAATCTAATTATTAAAATAAAACATAAATTCCATCCAATAAAATAGCATTAATTGAGGACAAATTCGGATAAACAAAAAAAATTCAAATGTGAAAATYTAAATTTGAAAATATTGAAAAGAAGGTCTATTTGTGTTGCATAGTTTCTAATCTAACTCACTAAAGACAATTCCTCCTACCATTATACTTTCTAAGGTATGAAATTGTYTGGAATTAAAGTTAATCTCACCCAATAAAAAGTATTTATTAAATCAACAAAGGGTGTGGGAAGTCAAATCTCGAATCATAGAAAAGGTAAGTAATATCTTAATTGYCAAGTCGAACATAACTTGTGGATAAAATACGTATTACCATTTGAAATATCGATGGTTCAATTTCTTCCTTCCATCCAAACTTGAAAAGAAAAAGTAATATATTGATTAGTTAACCTATACTCAAATCGGTGCTATGAAATTGATGAAAAAGTTTGAGGGCCTGATTGTAAATTCGGTAAAGGTGGCCTCTTGCCGGCTTTTGGTCATGAAAGAGGCCCAAGTGAGGCCTTTTCCTTCCTTTGTTCGCTTCAGTTCCGCCATGGCGAGAGAGAAGAACCCTGGCTTGAAGATCCTCTGGGTCTGGACTCTCGGCACCGCCGCCATTCTGGTTACAAGCGTAGCTCGGATGAGGATGCGGGATATGGAGACCATTATCAACTCTGATCAACAACAATCGCAGCCGCAACAAACGTTTCCTACTGATTCTCTTCCCAACGGCGAAGGAGTGATTCGGGACGACACATCACAGGTTTAGAAGCAGGCACGCCTTTGAATTCAACTCAAACCGGTAGTTCTCTTTTCGAATTTGGGGTTGGGTGATGTGGGTTTTTGGTCTAAATCCCATTTTCGAAGGGGAGTGTACATAAAGTGTTTGATGAAATTCCCGAATGGAAGGAACTGCCAATATTTTACTCGTAATGACACTGCAATTGCTTTGAATCTTTGATGTGCCAATTTCAATGAAACGTTTGCTGCTAGCTACATTTGCCTGGTGTAGATTGCTAGGTCTGGTCTGCCTCTTGGTTGCAATCTGTATGCTCAATGAGGATTTTATCACAGTTTTTTCACAGGTTTAGAAGCAATCACGCCTTGGAGTACAAGTTAAACTGGTCATTTTCTTTCGAATTTATGGTTTGGGGCTATGAATTTTTGGTCAAAATCCATTTTCGAAGGAGTGTGCATAAAGTGTATGATAAAATTCCTGAATGGTAGGAACTTGTTATATTTCACTGTTAATGAGCTTGTAATTGCTTTGATGTGTCAATCTAATGAAATATTTGCTGCTACATTTCCCTGGGCCTGCCTCTTAGTTGCACTTTGAGACAGTTTTTTGAGGATGGGCACCATCTTCTTTCTATTTCAACTCCACCTTTTGTTATCTTCCTTCTAAACTTCATCCTGGATCTTTTTCAAAGTCAATTGTTTATTTCTCAAAGCCCTGGTTTTCCTTTCTTTCAATTCTCTCGTGTTGTTCTTTTTTTGGCTAATATGAGTCATTTTAGAAACTTGTTGCTCAAATAGTGTGGTTTTCAAATTTATTTGCTAAASATTATAACATGTTTGAGTGGGGGTCAAAATCCCTTAGAGGCTAGGGGTGCAAGCTGAAAATGAAAAACTTGATTGAGGTTGTGGATTTATTTTGTCGATTTAGTTAGTTTTGTGGATGGCCTTTTCAATTAGTTCTGTTTTCATAGTTAGTCTAGTTGGTTTTTCGTTTTTCTTAAAACAATAGATAGAGTGGTAGAAATTGTTGGATTTGGAATGTAAGATAGATATGTTGCTGAGGATGTAAAGATGATCAACAATGAGCACAACCTTGATTGAGGTTGTAGGCTATAGCTGGGATTTTATTGAATGCTTGTATAATCCTATACTAACCCCTCACATGATGAGAAGACATAATGCGATAAAATAATAAAAACCTTCCAAATAGTTGGATTTGGAATGTAAGAGCACAGACACGGACATGCGACATGTCAATTTTCAAAAAGAGTAAGACATGATGCACTTGTTAATTTTTTTTTATATAAAAAAATGTGTTAATATAGGAGAAAAAGCAAATGAAAGTATGAAGAATGAGAAGAAATGGACTATGGAGAATTGTGTACGAGAAAACAGAGATAAAAGGAAAAAATGAAAAAATATATATGTGTGTGTGTATATATGTATATTTGGTACAAGGAAT